TTTTTGGTATGACTAAGTCATGGTATGGTATGCTGTACATAATCACGGAAACTGTCAGTGTGTCATTCTGTCAGTCAGTCATTCTGTCTGTCCCACGTTTTTCTACTCACTGACGTGGTCAATCTATGTGAAACTGCACATAGGCATTGAGGATTGGCATAGGTAGAAGGTGACAAAGCTACCAATGGGTATGGACTAGTTGAAAATAATAAGGGTGTATTTTCTGATGCGTGGCATTCACCGACGGTGTGTTATGGCCTTTATAGAACAAAGCAGTCTGTGTGTTACCATGCGTCCTGGCAGGCCACGCTCCCCTGGTGGCCCGACTACACAGTTGCAATCCTCTTCCTCCGCTGTTTCTGTTCGATTCAAAGGACACTGAGGAAACACAAACACACTCATTTAGCAGTTGAAACACGCTCAAAGCCTCCTCATTAGGTTGAAGAGAGACTTTTATAGATATGATACTAGGACATTAGGGTTTTATTACTGTTTAAATAAAAAGACTTTCCTCTGAAAGGTCAAAATTGAGGCCCTATAGAAGACTTCTCAGCATGAATCGAACGTTGCCAGGTATTTCCGTAATGCAGTATCTAATTAGGTGTGACATCATTACCTTTGCACCACATAGGTGGCTAAATACTTTGAAGCAAAGTCAGATTAAAAAGGTGTAAGAAACAGGATAGAAACTGCCACTTACCCTTTCATCATCCTGTAGTGTGAGAGAAAGAGAACAAGACAAAAAACAATGGTTATTATTACATTCCATATTCAGAAGTACATAATGTGACCTTTATAGTGGAGATTCCAGTTTATACAGGAGACAGTGGAGATCTTACCACAGAGTAAATCTCACAGGCTGTTTCTCTCTCACTCTGATGAGGGTCACAGTACAAACGCAGCTTCTGAATCTCCACCTGAATGGAAATGTGGTGAGGAAAATGGGAAATGTTACTTGGTGAAAAGGTAATAAGTGATTAATGAAATTCTATTACTTATTACCAACAGTCACGACCAGTTTGATTAACACCAACTTGTTTCTTTTGGCAAGAGGGATGTCAGATGTGTTGCCTAATAAGACTAGTTTTAGTGAACCAACACATTCTCACCCCGACCTCGTCACATATTGACGTTTGGTCATGGACCTTCCAGATACGACATAAGAGGTACCCTGGGTGTGTTGGTTGTTGACGCTCTGGGACACCGTGTCAATTTCTGCCTATTACATGCATTGTCTTCTTTCAAAATACACAGGAAATTTACGCCGGTACAACACTGCCAATTTACATTTTTTTTTCCTTCTAACAACACACATGGTTAGGTTTAGGAAAAAAGAAAAGGGTTTGGCTTTAGAATCTTATGGGACACGAACACCGCCCCCCAGGTGAAAGTCATTGTTTGTTTGACCCATACACCACCCCTCCCACCTGCCCTACTTGGACTTTCACCACCTTAACTTTCGTTCTTGTCCCACCGCGTTTCCCTCTGACACCACAGAGTGCCATTAAACTATAACAGCAAAAGGCTGCATATCATGCCAACGTTAAAGGAAGGCTTTTTTTTTTCCAGTGTCTGACGCAGCAAGTCACCGCCCAAGTGCTGGATTTCGATGTCTTCAGAGTCAGAACAGGGTTGACTGAACAGGGGATCTCAAACCCAACATAATTAAGAAATATCACACAAGAGGGAGTGCTGTTGCACTGTGTATCAGCACGGCTGTGATTCAGTCGTAGGCACAAGGCTGCAGGTCGAAGATAATCACAGCCGACCTCGAGCACAACCTCGAGTGTGATATTGCCTTCATACAACAGTTCTACAAGCACCATTTAACAGTAAGAAGCAGCAACAGGTTTGTTTTTTTAATGATTGATTTGGCTGAGCCAACACAAATAGTTCGGCAACTGGATTGGGACTGGACTGTTGCCAAGCAACACATGAACATTCCTGCACACTAGCTTGTTACTTTGTGTAAACTAGGTCTACACTTTACCGCCCCAGATGGCACATGACCAACCTTTAATGTTAAAATGTTGTTGATATTATGTCAGTTGTTGTTTCAACATTGTAACAACATTGAATTCTGATGGTTGTCATGACCTATCAAGCTACCTAAAGTTCGTCATCCCTGTGTTTCATGTTTTATTTTGGTAACCATTGTCTCATCTCATTTCAGATCCCACGTCCTGTGAAGTTTCCCTCCTTTGTGATTACTTGCTCCACCCTAATGGGTTTCACCTGTGTCTCATTGACGCCCCTTGTCTGAGTTTATTTAAGTCCGTGTCTTCCCCTTCTTTGTTGCCAGATCGTCTTTTCCTTTGAATGAGAGTTCCAGCAGTTTCCTAGTGTTCCTAGTGAGTGTGTTTTTTGTCTTTTGACCACCCTTTTGCCTGTCGAATGATAACATTGCACGTTACTGATCACCCGTGCACCGAACTAAGCCTGATTAGAGACCCTGAACTTTTATCTGAGTCTGTGAGTCTGCTTTGTGAGTCTTTCCCCACTATGTGCCTGACGATGGTTGTAAGAAGGTTAACAAAATTCACATAAACCAACACTGAAATTTCAGAAGGAGCTGGTTCAACGTTGAAACAATTTTGAAGCAACATTTTAAGGTTTATGAAACAACACTGTGAAATCAACGTTGATTCATCTTTCAAAATCAAACAGAATTCAACAGTGAAAATCTCTGTGTTTCCATTTACTTTGCAACCAGTGAAATCAGTCTGTTGACAGTTGCTCTGGTGGAATATGTGTGATGCCGATGAGTTAACAGCTAAATCAGCATGTTGCATTGTCCTCTGATGTCATGTGAGCATACCAACAGTGGAGGAGAAACTGGTGGTAGTGGTTGCTATACGCCCCGACGATAGACAGCAGGTTGTCAAACTGCCCCTGAGTCATCCTAAAATACGCCTGGAAACATCCATCACGGAGGAGAAGCTCCTGGACCAACTGGTGGTACTCCCCATGATCCAGCCTCTTTTTTAGGGTCTCATGTACCCACACAGATCTCTGTTTATCTGCTGACAGCCTCTCACCCTCA